TCTGTGTAAGAGAGTTCATGTGTGTCTGTATGAAATGTTTGCTGGTATGCAGGGGAGGGACAGTGGGGAGAGTAGAGGCGAAAGGTTTAGGGATGCATTGAGGGCAGGGAAATGTTAGTGGAAAGGCAGGGAAGAGAAGTGTTCAGGCTCAGTAAAGGGAGACTGAGAACAGGAGCTTTCTGACCATTACAATTGGTATATTTTATCTGCTTTAAAGTATGCTTGGATGTGAAGATAATATTGAATTATTCTTCCTCCTTTTGTCTCAAATAGCAATGTGCTGGTTCAATCTGTGAAAAATATGGCTTGGAGGAATGTACATGTGCTAGTTCAGACGGCAAGGATGATAAAGAGTTGTGCCATGTCTGCTGCATGAAAAAAAGTAAGATGTGCTCATTATCTAAATATTAATACAATAGTTCAAATCTCAAGGTTTTTTCACCAAATTCGAGTAAGAATTACAGCAGCAGGGGAAGTATTTGCTTCTTGCTGTTGAAACTCATTTTTTGGAAATACACAAAGTACAATTCAGTTTTTATGGCTTATGTACTATTATGAACAACGTGCTTCTCCTATAATGTTAGTCAGTGGACCTCTAGTAAAATGCCTATTTGATATGCCATTGGCATGTCAACTTTAAAATAAAAAATATAATACCTTAATGAAAGACAAATTACCACTTTCTGATATGTTTTTAAATAGGGTAAGAGTACATTTTTGGTATTGAGTTGGTTATCCTTTATACATTGGTGCATGTACAAAGTATTTTGTTATAAATTTGTCTTGAAATAAAAGCCAGCCTTCAGTTATTTTCACTTTTTTTTTTCCAGTGGATCCAATTACTTGTGCAAGTACAGGATCTGATCAGTGGAAGGAGCATTTCAGTCACAAAACCATTACATTGCAACCTGGATCCCCCTGTAATGATTTTAAAGGCTACTGTGATGTATTCATGAGGTGTCGGTTGGTGGACGCAGATGGTCCTCTAGCTAGACTAAAGAAAGCAATTTTTAATCCAGAGCTATATGAAAATATTGCAGAGTGGATTGTGGTAAGTATCTTTATGATTTGGTAATATAAGCTTGCAAGAGCCGTGTAAATGGATTGAATAGATTCAATACATTCAGTATCACAATGATAAATAATTGAATATGCAATATTTCAGTGTTCTCTTAAGGTATGTCTACACTGCAATAAAAAACACACACCTTACAACTGACTTGGGGTCTGGTCAGCAGCATTTTTTTTTCCAAGACCTTTATTAGATGCATGTGGCTTGTTAAATAGGTGTCTGATTTTTAGGCTATCCACTTCCATAGTTGTCTTCTTGTATACATTTCAGGCTCAGATGATTGTCTGGTTTAGGGTCTAGGGTTTACCACCCTCACAGAGGAATCTAAATGCCTTACACGTAAAACAGATAATATCAAAATCCCTCGTGGCCTTTGTGTCTTAGGCACTTCTCTCTCTTCGGAGTAAAACCTGTTTGGTGATAGGGCTTCTGTTTGTTTGTACAGTATTTCATTAATTTTAACTTTTGTTTCAGTGTGGCTTCTGATTTTGATTGGTTTTTATGAGTAGAAGGGGGTATTAATGTTAGGGTTGTTCTGATGGCCTTGCCTTCTGTACTTGGCAAGGCCAAGTTTAGCAGTGAGTTTGGGTTTTTGCTGTCATCTTGAAATTTTTTTCTTAAGTTTTCTTTGTAGACCTAATTATATTCCATCTCAATAGTACTAAATATAAAGAACAATGGAAGAAAAGTGTGATGCATAAAGAAATTTTCAAGGATCAGGCATAGCTTAATGAAATTGGGATGTGGGAGGGCTAGTTATATGAACAGGTAACTGTTTAACATTTAACCATTACCCAGGAATGGGCAGAGGGACTGCTGCCCACCTCCCTCCCCCCCGCCAAGCTGTCACTTCCGCCTTTGTGCGAGGCTGCTGACTCCAAGCCTATGCAGTCTAGGAAGCAGACTAGAAGAATTGAGCCCCAAATATCTGATTTACTCAACCATAATTTAGTGGTTATGGAAGCACTGAAAATATTGTCATTTATTAATGCAATGTTCATTGCTCAAAGAATAGCTAATATAGTATAAATATATAGTGGATCCCTTTTAGTTTAAGAAACTATTGTAATAAATGTTCTAATATTTGCACATAGTCAATTCTCTGTAAACACTAAATAGACTTTTTGAGATTAAAAGGAATCGGCTAATGTCACTCTACTCCAGGGACACAGCCAGAATTTTCCTAAGGAGGGAGTTTAAGAAGAAGATCCTTCTCCAGAAGGATTCCTGTCCTGGGGAAGGATGGTGGGACACAACCACAGTGTGCCTGGAGGCATGGATCAGCTTCATATACAGCTGACTGGGTGCACATAGCTGCAGGCAGTTTTGTGGGAAAGGATGTGCTTGGATGCCTGGGGCCTCTGGTGCAGGGCAGAGTACAGCGAGAGAACACAGGGAAGTTATTGCGTTCTCTGAGTCCCCAGCTTCCTCTGGAAATCCCTGGTGTTGGGGCTGCCCCTCCCACTACTGCCCCACCAAGAAAAAGGACACTGGGGAAATGCTAGAGCCTTCTCTCCCAGTCCACAACATCAGGATACTAGGCAGGGTTTCATTGTTGGGCACAGATATGGCGCCCAAGGGTGTTACTCCTCTATGGTCAGCAGGTCCCACTCAGCCGCTGCTGAAACTGATCAGCGGCTGATTCCAGGAAGCTGGGGGCAGAGCTGCTCTGCCCCAGGTTTCCTGTAGTCAGCTGCTGGTCAGTTTCAGCAGCGGCTGACTTAGGGACGCCTGGGGCAGAGCAGCTGGGGTGCTGCTGGGTTGCTCCAGTAGTGCGGCTCCTCGGCGTTACTGGA